GCGGTTGAATTCATGTAAATCGGGTCGAACTTCTTCCTGAACTGGTCGTACTTTGCGAGGTCCGAGCCAGCGACAGACCGCCGTGCACCTGCAAAGGCCTCCTCGAAGTGCTTGCGCCCGATCTCGGAGCCCATAGTTGTGTCCATGGCATCGTCGTCGCCTGCTCGCAGCTCATCAGCTGCAATGGCATCGCGCACCGCTGCCTTTGCAGCTCGTTGGCACAGCTCTGCCAGATCTGCTCCACTGAAGCCTTCAGTCTTCTGCGCAATGAAGGACAGCGGCACATTGGGTGCTATGGGCGACTTTTTGAGAGTAGCCTCCAGGATGCTTTGTCGTGCAGGCAGGTCGGGCAGCGGGATGTAGACAAGCTGATCAAGTCGGCCTGGACGCAGCAAGGCCTCGTCCAACAGCTCAGGCCGGTTCGTGGCACCGATGAAGAACACGTTCTTCTTCGCACCGACGCCGTCGATCTCGGTCAGCAGCTGGTTCATGACACGATCGCCAGCACCTCCTGCGTCTCCCTGGCTCGATCCACGGGCCGTGCCTACCGAATCCAGCTCGTCGAAGAAGAGAACACACGGTGCGGCTGCCCTTGCCTTATCAAAGACCTCTCGCACGTTGGCCTCAGACTCGCCGAACCACATGGTCAGAAGCTCCGGGCCCTTGATGCTAACGAAATTGGCAGAGCACTCACTGGCGACTGCCTTGGCCAGGAGCGTCTTGCCGCAGCCTGGAGGCCCGTAGAACAGCACACCTCTAGAAGGCTGCATGCCGAACTTTTCGAACTTCTCTGGGTGGTCGATGGGATACAAGATCGTTTCCTGCAAAGACCGCTTGGTGTCCTCCAAGCCTCCGATGTCATCCCACTTGATGTTCGGCACTTCTACTACTGTCTCGCGCAGCGATGATGGATTCACGGTGCCCATTGCTGACTTGAAGTGCTCTTGAGACACTGCCATGGAGTCCAGCACCTCTGCATCGATGGTCTCCTCCTCTAAGTCGATGAGGTCCATCTTCTCACGGATGCACGTGAGCGCGGCTTCTGTGCAAAGCTGCGCCAGGTCTGCTCCGACAAAGCCGTGGGTGTTGGAGGCGACCTCCTCCAGCTTCACGTCGGTGCCCAACTTCATGTTCTTGGTGTGAATTCGCAGAATCTCCAGCCGGCCATTGTCGTCAGGCACTCCGATATCCAACTCACGGTCGAATCGGCCGAAGCGGCGCAAGGCTGCATCAATGGAGTTGGGTCGGTTGGTGGCTGCAATCACCACCACCTGGCCACGCCCCTTGATGCCGTCCATGAGGGTCAGCATCTGAGACACCACGCGCTTCTCCACCTCGCCACTAGTCTTGTCTCGCTTCGGGGCAATGGAATCGATCTCATCAATGAAGATGATGGCCGGCGAATTCTTCTCAGCCTCTTCGAAGGCTTTTCGGAGATTGGACTCTGCCTCGCCTGCCATCTTGGACATGATTTCTGGGCCGTTGATCAGAAAGAAGAAAGCTCCGGTCTCGTTGGCAATGGCCCGGGCGATGAGAGTCTTACCGCTGCCAGGAGGCCCATACAGCAACACTCCTCGGGGAGGCTTCACTCCCAATGTCTTGAACAAAGTTGGATGGCGCAAGGGCAGCTCAATCATCTCACGGATTTGGCCCATGGCCTTCTTGCAACCACCGATGTCATCGTAGCCAACTTCGTCAAGGCGCTCCTCATCTTCGCGTTTCACAGGCTCACCTTCACAATGGATCACGGTGTCCGGTGCCACAATCACGAACTCGCCGGGGTCCACGCCCACCACTTTGAACTCCACCGGCCGGAAGCCTCCTCGCACAAGGAAAAGGTCGCCCTGACGTGCGGGCCTGTAGGCCTCGAGGAAGTATGGTTTCAGGTACGTGTCGAAGAGGTTTCCTGTGATACCCTCGATGGTGTCGTCTAGGGGCAGCACATGGATGCGCTTCCCGTATGGCACATCACCACAGGCATGAACCGAAATGATGTCGCCCAAGCGCACGCGCAGGTTCTTGCGGACGACCTTGTTCATGCGAATCTTGCTGTCGTCTAAGTTCTCATCAGCCAGGACGATGCACACTGTGTCCTTTCGCTTCTTGCCCTTGATCAACACATTGTCGCCTCGGAAGAGGTTCAGCTCCTCCATCTTCGCTT